CGGCCGTCGCATCCCACAGATCTGTGAGCGGGACTGGTTCACAAGCAGCTTTCCGAGTCTTCTCGGCTCCTCGGCCTGCCCATGCATCCGCAACAGCATGAGCACAAGCGGAACCTGGGTTGGTGATGGCCTCTGGCGTCTCATCCTGGTGCGACGGGGCCCACACCGAGGCCACGTCGCGTCAACGGTCCAGCTCCGAGGCCCTGCGCAAGCGAGGCCGGAGCTCCCAGTTCTTGGGCCGCCGAGCCCAAGCTTCGGGAGGCCTCCGAGCCCAACCGTGCCCCCCATCCATCGAGGAGAGGCTTACAGTCAAAAGCCCTAATAAGGACGCGCGACTTTGCTCAGGGTACCTTTGCGTCCTTGCTCTTCCTTGCTCTTGCGTCCTTGAGGTTTTCGTCGTCCGCCGCCCCAGAAATCCCAACTTCGGCTTCCAAGGGTCTTGCGTCCTTACCGCGCGTCCTTATCAGGGTCTTTGACTGTATGGCGGGTGCGAAAACGTCAGAGGCCCCGCGCTTTCTTCCCCAGCAGTGCAGGACGCGAGAAGCTCAGCACGTGGGACGGTCTGCCGCCTGCCCTCCCAGGCGCCGACCAGGCCTGAGTGGCCTTGCCACAGGCCCGCGCCGTCGGGGGACATCGCCGCAACCGGCCAGCCACACCGGCGCCTCCGAGGGTCATCTTAGGGGAACAGAAAGTGACATAAACAGAGAAACTCGGAGGTCCGTGCGGACCTCGGAGTTTTTATGTTTCTGTCACCTTTTTTTCCCCTACATCTGAAAAGGCCCCCCCAGAGCCATCCCCAAACACATGGAGGCGCCCATGGGGGTCTCGGCAGGCTTCCCACGAGGGCCTCCCCTCGTTGTCAGGACCCACCACCTCCACCCCACCCCCGTCCCACGGAGAGAAGGAGGGAGTAGTGGAGGAGAGGCTAGAGACACCCCTAAGCCAACGAGTTGGGTCCTGTTCCAGACCCGCGAGCGCCTGGGGCACTAAGTGATCACTAGCAGCGACCTCAGGGCCCTCATCAGCAGAGCACTTCCAGAGCCTGTGTGGGAGGTCCTCAGTGGCCCAGAGCTACACCGATCACAGAAACTGCCCACTTTATACCCAACCTGCTGGAGGCGCTCACGAGCCCACTGGCCCCCAGAGACAACACAGTCATTCAATGCCCATGACGATATTCTCCCACTCGGCAAGAACCTCCGCTGCTCGATCCTGATCGTGACCAGGTCCGCTCCAGAGGCGAGAGAGGCGCCGCGCTCGTGCGCCGCCGCCGTCGCCCAGAGCCTGCTCTGGATGTCGTCGCTGAACTCATCGAGGACGGACTCGTAGTCAAGGTCGACTAGCTCAGCTCCATCGTCTGGGAGCCTCCATTCCTCCAGGTATTCATCATGCACTCGTTGCCAGCCATTCGCCGCCTTGGCATCCCAGCCAGCCTCGAGCAATGTCGCAATCGCAGCTCCCGTCGGTCCAGTAACATATGATCAGATCTTTGGACCCGCGCGTGTCAGCTTGGTCTTGAGAAGTGTCCAAGTCCTGCGAATACGCTGATGCAAGTGTGGCTGATCCTGCCAGAAGCGAATCCACTGACGAAGCAGTTGTACTCGTAGCTGGACTCCAGGATCAGCCCCGTCGAAGGTGACCCCCAACAGGGTCGTGAGGCAGCGCCCAGCTGCCTGTCCAGTTGAAGCCGCTGCCGCCTGTCTGCGCCATCGTAGCACAGCATGTCGAGCAAGTCCACGAACTTGGTGGCCATAGACTCCATGGGGTAAGGATCCAGTGGCCCACAGACCCTTGGCAATACGAGCTTGCTGAGGAGTAGGAGGAGGAGGAGGAGGAGGAGGAGGAGGAGGAGGAAGGGGAAGAGGAGGAGGAGGTGTTGCTGCATGTGGAGAACGAAGTGGAAGGGGTAGCCGTCCCCCTCCTTCTCCTCCGTCTCATCATGACTAATCCGTTCCCTCTATTCCCCTCCCCTCTCCGGGCTCGAGCGAGGAGACGGAAGACGAGGAAGGGGAGAACTCCCTCCCCTTCTCAATCTCAATTCTCCCTGTCCCCTTTCTCCCTGCCAACTCCCGAATGTGCACCGCTGCAGTGACAGGCTTATCCTCTGCCTCCTGTGCCTTCACCCCCTGTGCGAGGCCCCCTCGGCCCCAGCGCCAGCGCCTGCGGCGCCCGCAAGGGTCACGAAGGTCCGAGCACTGCAGATGGGGCGAGACTCCAGATGGGGGACAGGGACGAGGGTGCATGCAGTTCTCGACTTGCACATGCCATGCTCGCACAGGCGCCGCGTCACACTCTGCGCGCCGTTCTCACTGCAGAAGGGGTAGGGGGGGGACCCCGAGGAAGCTTTATGTCCACGCCCTGTCCCGGCCGCGTTCATCGCTCGATCTCCGTGCCTTTCTACTTCATCTCTGCGCTGGAGGAGGAGGAGGAGTTGCTCCTGGAGCAGGAGCAGGAACAGTAGGAGGAGGAGGAGAAGGAGGAGGAGGAGTTGCTGGAGCAGGAGCAGGAACAGGAGGAGGAGGAGCAGGAGAAGGAGGAGGAGGAGAAGGAGGAGGAGGAGGAGGAGGAGGAGGAGGAGGGGAGGAGGGGAGTAGGATGAGGAAGGACGAGGAGGAGGAGGAGCAGGAGGAGGAGAGGAGGAAGGAGGAGGAGGGAGGAGGAGAGGAGAAAAAAGGAGGAGGAGGAGGAGGAGGAGGGAGGAGGAGAAAAAAAAAAGGAGGAGGTAAGGAGGGAGAGGAGGAGGAGGAGGAGGAGGAGGAGGAGGAGGAGGAGGAGGAACGTAGCTTCAGGCGCCTCACTCACAGAGCCGAGCGAAGGGAGGGGGGTGCTGCCCTCGATGCCGCGGCCGTGGCCGTGCGGGGGGGGTAGACTTCAAGCTGCCACGGATGGAGTATACGTGGGCAGCTTTGCTAGCCGTTGGTGGCGAGATCTCCCCTCCCCCATCCTCCTTTCCCCCACCCCTCCCCTCCCCACCCCCATCCTCCCCACCCCCGTCCTCACCCCCACCCCCATCCCCATCCCCCCCCCCTTCCCCTCCCCACCCCCATCCCCACCCCCCAGCCCCTATTCTCTCCTCCCCCACCCCCCTCCCCCATCCTCCCCCGCCTCCCTCCCCCCCCCCCCTCCCCCTCTCCACCCCCCTCCCCTCCCTCCCCACCCCCCTCCTCCATCCTCCGCAGTCTGGCGAATACGGCGCCAGCTTGCGTCCCCTCGCGTCGCAGTCCGTGTGGCACGTGCGAACTTCCAGATCGGGGCTTCGCCCAAGGGTTCCCCGCCCTCGGTCATGTGGAGATCCTCAGCAGCAACACGGATCGAATGCGGCTCCTCTTCGAAATCGTGTCCTCGCCTCGGCGCCTCGAACATTCTGCCAAAGCACCTGCTTGCTGGAAGGCTGCAGGGCGGCTCCGCCTCGACCTCGGCATGCCTCGCCGCGCTGTGCGGTCGGCTACTGGCCCTGCGGCTGATGGGCTGCATCTTGCACCCCCCGCGGTCGGCCACTGCCCGCGGTCGGCTGCGCGCTGTGCGGTCGGCTACTGCCTGGGCTCTCCGAGGCCAGTCCTGCGGCTGATGGGCCACATCCTGCACCCCCCGCGCGAAGAGGGTGCCGGCGCAAGCTTCAGCTCGCCATCACGCCTCGGTTATTCGCAGGAGTTCAGGGGAGGAAAAGGTACCCATACCGCTCCCCTCGCCCCGCTTTCGCCTTGTTGGGCCTATTGGGAGGCCCTCGTCGCCACCGCTGGATTCGCCTCGAAATCCTGGTCAGAACGCACCCCAGGAGAGGTCCGGGGAGTAGCGGTGTCGTTACCTTTTGTCGCCTCCCTAGGAGTGACCTTTCGCCGGAGCGACCTTCGGAGTGGGCATACAGCTGCAGGGTTCCCACGAGAACTGGCTGTCGCGCTGGGATTGCTTGGATTCGACCCCCCCCCCCGCGGCCCCCTACAGCTGCGCACCAAAGGTCACTCCTGCCTAGGGCCACTCCAGGGCTGGACCTGCACGCTGTTTTGCCGGACTTCGGCTGGGTTCTTGTTTTTCGTCCTGACCCGGAGGTACAGGAAAACGGGTAGAGCAGAACGAAACACAAAACGAAAAGCAGCGTTTAGGTCCGGCCTTAAGTCGGGCCTCTCCCTCTACAGGAGGAATCTTCAATAATAGTTAAAAACTATCCTGGGGACCATTTTTGGAATGTTTTTGAACCATTTAAGGGGGCATTTCTGGACTATCCTTAACTTTTCGCCCAAAATCCCCCTGTAGGGGGACAGGCCCGACCCAAGTCCAGCCCTGGGTCACTCCTTGCGTGCAGCCGACCGCCCCCGACTCGATGCTGGTTGGCATCGCCAGAGGGGGGCGCAGGACCCTCGGGCAGCCGACAGATCGGCTCCTCGCGGACGCAGCCCGCCAATATCATATTAGGGGCCTTCTCCTCCTCCTCCTCCTCCTCCTCCGCCTTCCGCCTTCCGCCTTCCGCCCTTCTCCTCCTCCTCCTCCGCCTTCCGCCCTCCTCCTCCTCCTCCTCCTCCTCCTCCTCCTCCTCCGTAGCCATTTTGGCTCAAGAGCTTCCGTGCCTTCAGTGGCTCCTGGTGGCTGCGCGCGCCCGCCCGCGAGCGGGATCCACTGCAATGGCGTCGCTTGCTGGTTCCTAGTGGCGCTCATCATCCACCTGTTCCTTTCCCACCTTTGTGTGGGCGCTGCTGCGGGCAGTACTTCTATGCCGAGCTGCAGATCATGGGTGGCCACCGCTGCTGCGGGTGCCCCGCTATCCGTCGCTCAACGTCGCCGCCGAGAGCGGGATGCCTGGTATGCTACTTCCCATAGTGCACCTGGGAAGGCATTCGTCGAAGTGGACGTGGTCGACAGGGCTGACATCAAACGCATGGCCCATGGCAAGGCCCTACACCGCCTGCTCGATGAGGATGGGCTCGCGCACGGACTGCCCCCTGCCGCTTCTGGCAAAGTCGCTGCGCATCGTGCTCTCCGCCGCGGGACTCTTACTCCTGCTGGCCATGCGGCAGCGCGTTCGACTCTGGAGCTGGCGGACGCCGCCAAGCACCACCATCTTTCTCTTCAAGGTACAGCTGTCCATGCTGAGGAGCTCCTCGCTGGACGCCGGGTTCCTGCTGGGCATCGGGCCCGTGCTGGAGATCGGGAACGTGCTGGAGTTGGGGACCCTTCTGGGCTTCGAGACCGTGCTGGACGTCGGGACCCTGCGGGAGATCGTAATCGTCCTGGGCAATTGGACCATGATGCTGCTCCTCGCCCTCGCTGGGCTGATGCACCTCTTGACAGCGACGATGCCGATGGAGAGCGCGACCGAACCCCGCCTCGAGCGGGTGACCAGGCCCTTGCCCATACGTTGGTGCCCCCCGCTGTCCCACATCAAGAGGACAGTATCCCTCCACGAGAGGAAGACCATACAATCGACGCTCCAGCAGGTGATCTTTGTGCGGGAGTCCGTTTGGAGGGCCCCGCCGACGCCGCTACGCCTTCCCTGGCGGCGTCTCTATCGGTTGATTTCCTCTTCTCGTGCATCGGCCAGCTCACGTACACGACGAATGAGCTCATCTGCATGACGGCCACGTCGCTCGCCGCACACAACGTGACCACCGCCTACTCCACCGACTTCATCACTGCCTACACCAACGACCTGGTGCACCTGGGCAATGACTCTTTCCTGTCTGACCTCGGCTTCGAGACCGAGCTCTGCATCTTCGAGGAGCGCGCTCGGCTCCCTGCTGGCGTTCCTGGCTGTGGTGCTGCCGTTCCGCATGCCGCTGATGTTCGGCCTGACGGGCTCGCGGAACCTCCTGGACCTCAAGATGCTCAACACTCTCTTCGGGAGATTCTTCCCGCTAATGGTTCTGCTGGTGGCGCCCCTCTCCCTGCTCTTGGTGACGTTGCTGACCGTCCTGGCTCAGGCTCTGCGGGCGGCTGTGATACTCTTCTTGCTGCACGCGCTGTGCCTCCTGATGCTCGTGTCGACCCTGGCCTTCACAACCGGCGTACCGTGGATGACATGCAGAATCGCAAACAGGTTGTATTGCTAGAGAGAACAGTGCCCGTGCCGCGGGCCCCTGGCATGTGGCAAGAAGCTGACGGCTGTGATGGCGCTGGCTGGCAAGAAAGCGTTGCGGATGCCTCGGATGCGTCCGCCCCGTCTGACCTCGAGCTCGACATGTTGAAGGACAGGATCGCTCAGATCGAGTTCGCTCACAACAAGACGAGCTCTACCGTCAAGCTTGTGTCGGAGACGTTCAAATCCACCTCCCAACTGCTCATGGATGCGCTCCAAAACACCGCTGGGACTATATCGGCGTCGGTCCAGGACTCCCAGCAAAAGCAGGCAGACTTCCACAACCGAGTGCTTCTGGAGATCGAGAAGCTCAAGGCGGACCACCAGCTCTTCAAGGACAGGCTCGGGAAGTTGCAGCAGCGGAGGAGGTCCGACACGCGAGCGGTAAGGCCCCATGAAGACACGGACAAGGAAGAGGACAAAGACCAAGTTCGGCCAGAAGCAAAGGTCAAAGACAAAGACACAGTTAACGACGAGGACAACGACTAATATAAAGACAAAGACAAAGGCGAAAGCGAAGCGGCGGCAAGCTGGGACAAGGCCACCCAGCAGGGAGCTCTCGGCTCCAACCGAGCTCCAAAGGCGGATCAAGATCTGGTTCAAGATTCCGACAAAGAAAATGGCAAAGAAAAGCACAAAGATGAAGATACGAAAAAAGACGAAGACAAGGAAAGGCCCCACAAAGACACGGACAAGGAAGAGGACAAAGACCAAGCTCGGCCAGAAGCAAAGGTCAAAGACAAAGACACAGTTAACGACGAGGACAACGACAAAGATAAAGACAAAGACAAAGGCGAAAGCGAAGCGGCGGCAAGCTGGGACAAGGCCACCCAGCAAGAAGCCCTTGGCTCCAACCAAGCTCCAACAGCGGATCAAGATCTGTGTCAGAAGCCGAAACAGAAAAAGACAAATATAAGCTTAAGGATGAAGAGCCGACAGAAGACGAATACAAGAACTACGACCCCCGCGCTGCGGACGACAAGGACAAAGATAAAGACAAAACAAAGGAGAATACATAGATAAAGACAAAGGCAAATGCAGGGAAGGAGGCAGGGGCAAAGTGGAAGACGAAGACAAAGTCAAAGACAAAAGTGAAGAAGCAGAAGAAGATGAAAAAGGAAGAGATGAAGAAACAGAACAAGAAACAGACGCAGTACCAAGCGAAGAAGACGATGACCCCTGTTTCTTGCAAGGCAGTGTGTCGCATGTTCGGATTCAGGGGTTAGTCGGACGGACTGATCTGAACGGCATCCCAGGGACCAACACGGGCTTCGACACGAAGGTTGGGCGGTGGAATATCTGGCCATGGGGCCGCGGGCCTGCCGTCAAAGTGAAGCAGATCAACCTGTCGCGGCATGTACCGCGCGACAGCGATGTCTGCCCTGGGTGCTCCGAGGTTCTTCTCCTGAGCGCCGTCCCTGCATGTGCATGCACAGATACACCAGATTGCCAGTAGATCACGGCTGACACGCGCTCCTGAGCACGCTCGACTCCTCCTCCTCCTCCTCCCCCTCCTCCTCTTCCTCCTCCTCCTCCTCCTCCTCCTCCGCCTTCCGCCCTCCGCCCTCCGCCCTCCTCCTCCCCCTCCCCCTCCTCCTCCTCCTCCTCCTCCTCCTCCTCCTCCTCCTCCTCCTCCTCCTCCTCCTCCTCCTCCTCCTCCTCCTCCTCCTGGTGAACCAGCACCAAAGCTGCAGGACGTTGTCCATCAGCCGTGCCACTGCAGTCAACGCGCCCAGTAGGGACGCGCGCCCTCCTCCAGGGTGCTCTCGTGTGTCCTTGCCTCTGCGGCCTGTCCTTCGCCGTCTTCACTGGTCGCCCGTCGCCCAGGAAAAACCCAACTTCGGCCTCCAAGGGTCTTGCGCCCTTTACCACCGTTCCTTTCACAGTCCCCAGGCATTCGGAGGAATTTTCTGGGCCTTCTCCCCGAGAACGCCGAACTCTTCTCCGGAGGCGCCGGGGCTCCTGAGAAGTCCCGCCGCGCTCTGAGACGGCCTTCTCCTTCTCACTTGCCCCCCTCGCTCGCCGCCGACCCAAGGATCGAAGAGTTACCACCCGTCCTCTCAGTACACGTCTTGACCGTACCTCTGGCGGGGCCCGTGGGAGCAGCACCGCTGCAGCCCGCCCGGGTCCTGGAGGATCTGTGGCAGGGCTGCGGGCCCCGGCTGCGAGGAGGCATGCGCGCGCACGGTCGGACCGCGGCATGAGATCGAGGTCGGCTCTTGGATGTTCTTCGTGCATCCTCCTCCTCCTCAGCCTCCTCCTCCTCCTCCTCCTCCTCCTCCTCCTCCTCCTCCTCCTCCTCCTATCCTCTTCCTTCTCCTCCCCCCCTGGATGGATGTTCTCCGTGTCTGTTGGATGTTGTTGTGCATCCTGGGGGGGGAACCCGCGAAGGATCTTCCGTCTGGGCCAGCGGAGCGTCTCGTGTTCTTGTAGGGTGTTGTTCCGTCCCAGGTCTGGCTGTACTGATTTATGACGAGGGGACTTGGGACGAGAGGGCGCATTACAGCATCAGTTATGCGTGCTGGACTTGCTCTGGTCGTCGTCGTCGTCGTCGTCGTCGTCGTCGTCG